ATTGTAGAGATTACAATTATGACATAAAACAAAATGTGTATGCATTATTGAATGGACAACTGATCTGCTCTGTAAACCTTCACCCAATTCACAAAAGCTAGTAAATAACTGTCTACTAAAATATTATCTGGCCACATGTGGTTGTTTAAATAAAATTAAGAGTTCACTTCCTCCATTTCACTAGTCACCTTTCCAAGTACTGAATAACCACTTGTAGATGGTGACTACAATATTGGATATCCCAGATCTAGACTATGTCCATCACCATAGAAAGTTCGATTGGAGACTGCTAGATATAATATATTTTTTGAACCAAATGATAGAGATCTGAAATTCTGCTTTTACATAATGATGCTAACACATACATGACTTCAAGGTATCCTACTGCACTTTCCTAAATTGAAACTGATGTCTAAAACAAAATTAATACTCCAAACCCCTTTAAATCAAGTGGGTACACCCACTTGAATTGTACTGGGCGGAGTGGAGCTCTTCGTAGTGGGAGCTCTTCGTAGGTAAGCATCATGCAATTCACTCTGAGTTGTGCACCCAGTGGCATCACTTGGGAAGATTCTCTCTGGTCACAGGGAATATTTTTGTGACAGCAGTTTCACTCAACCTCGTATTTTTGTGATGGCCTGGTATTCTTTTGACCCCGAAAGCAAACATCAGTCAAGCCAGTGGAAGACACCACCTCTCCCAAAAAAAGTTCCTCAAGTGAAATCAAAGGCAAAAATGATGTTCATTTGTTTTGTTTTGTTTTTATGTGAGGGGGATAGTGTGCATTTGGAGTTCGTTCCAGCAGGTCAGAATGTTCATCAAGCTTTCTATTTAGAGGTTCTGGAAAAGATTGTGTAATGGTGTGCGACAAAAAAAGGCCTGATTTGTGGCAGATGGAGGACTGGTTTTGTCACCACGACAATGCACCTGCTCATGCAGCCTTCTCATTTGCCAGTTTTGGGCAAAAAAACAGCATGTCTCTCTTGCCCCACACACTTTACTCACCTCCATGTCTGACTTCATGTTTCTGCAAATGAAGAGGGACATGAAAGGACAGCGATTTGATGATGTAGAAGAGGTGAAGAAAAAAATGAGGGAGAGGCTATCAGCCATCTAAACAGATGAGTTTGAAAAATGTTTCCAAGAATGGAATCGCAGATTTGACAAAAGTGTTAAGTGTAATGGAGAGGACTTTGAAGGTGTTAAGGTTGTTTTGTAATAAAAATTAAATATATAGTTTTGAAAAAAAAATTTCCAGGTCTTTTTTGGGGTATCCCTCATATTCCCATGAGGCACATTAAATTATAATACATAAACAGGGCAAAGACCCAGCTTTTTCCAAAAATGAAAGTAATGTGCTCTATCAGAACAAGAAGAAACACAGAGCTTTGGTTTCCAGCAACTACCCAAACCAGAATCTATACGCTTTGACTGAGTTCTTTGAACCTTTTTTGATTTCAATGCTCCCAAAGGTAAAACAGTGGTTTATTTAGAAAAAGTTTTGAATAAAATATAACTTAGAATCACATCTTAGTAATACTTGAAAACTGATCACTAGATAGCTACATATGTCTCTTGGTCTTACAAGGCTCTATGGGGCCACATTGCTCAATGGGTCCAAGCGGGGTCTTCGGGCCAAGCTGTGCCTTGACAAAGGAGGCACAGATGTGCCCGGGGGCAGTCCTGAGGGAGTCCTCTTGTGACCTAGGTTTGCTAAGGCCACGATTGGACTGCTAACAGGAAATAAACCTGAGTACGGGGTGATGGTACTGGCTTATTTTAAATAATGGGCCTCGGAAGAGAAACCTGCATGGAGCTTAGCTGTGTGGGCTTCTGATCAGATGCCAATGTGCCAGCAACGCTCCCACTGGGGGCTGAGGCCCCAGAAAAGAAGACCTCCTTTTGAAATGAAGATTGTTATCCAAAACCAAGGGTTAAAATAAGTCATCCTTTTTGTGTTTTCTGTTTGTTTTTTATCATATTAAAAATAGCTTGTGTATATATACTGTCTACTTGTTATAAATAATAAAAGCTATTTTGCATGCAAAAAAAATAGCTTGTGTAAACAGTTAATGTAATATTTTTGGTGCTTAAGACATTGACTTTCATATGCAGAAGACTTCAAAAATTCATGGAAAAATTATGTAATCTTAAAAAAGTTTTGTTGACATAGAATTGACATATCATACAACTTAATGGTTTAAATAAAAATGGGGCATTCCCCCAGCACGAATGCTGAAGACAAAGCAGGTACATAAGCAAGTGCGGTGAAGAAAACTGATGGTGTCAAGCTTTCAAATTACACAGAATCTGGGGTCCCACATGCTGGAAGATAAACAAGGGGCCATCTAACTGAGAAACAACAAAGCCCACATGGAAGAAGCACACC